TTTCTTTTTTTTTGAGACAGAGTCTTACTCTGTCTCCCAGGCTGGAGTGCAGTGGTGCGATCTCAACTCACTGCAACCTCTACGTCCTAAATTCAAGAGATTCTCCTGCCTCTGCCTCCTGAGTAGCTGGGATTACAGACGTGCATCACCAAGCCCAGCTAATTTTTGTATTTTTTAGTAGAGACAGGGTTTCACTATGTTGGTCAGGCTGGTCTAGAACTCCTGACCTTGTGATCCACCCACCTTGGCCTTTCTAGGTGCTGGGATTACAGGTGTGAGCCACCGCGCCCAGCTGGTCAAAGACTTCCTAGTGAAAACAGAACTAGCTTTTTCTGCTACTGTGCACACAGTCACCACAGAATACAATACTTCACCTCTAGTCACCAAAATGTGTGCGGGTTGCTCCTCACCAACAACCAACTCTTCAGCTGTGACCTGCTGGGTGTCCTGTAATTTAACTCAATTCTGATACTATCTACTAGGAGATAGCATCACATTGCACAGGTTGAAGGCTCAGTCTCACAAACTGCCCTCCACTTCAGATGCCAGTCACAAGCCCCAGGTTGCCATTAGCCCATCACTGAGTTGTATTAATTTGCTAGGATGGCTCACAAAACTCAAGGAAATGCTTTACATACACTATAAAGGATGTCATAAAGGACACAGATGAACAGCCAGATGGAAGAGATGCATAGGGAAGAGTGGCAAGGGATGTGGAACTTCCACACCCTCTCTTAGCTTATCACCCTCCAAATGCCTTCACGTGTTCAGCAATCAGGAAGCTCTTTGAACCCTGTCCTTCTGGAGTTTTATGGAGGCTTCCTTACATAAGCATGATTGATTACATCATTGGCCATTGGAGAGCAACTCAACCCCTGTCTCCTCTTCCTTCTCAGAAGGTCACCGGGCAGGGGATGGAGCTAAAAATTCCAGTCCTCTAATCACATGGTTGGTTCCCCTGGCAACCAACGCCCATCCTGAAGCTATCTAGGAGCCCACCAAGAGTTGCCTCATTAGAACAGAAGATGTTCCTGTCACTTAGGAAATTCCAAGGGATTTAGAAGCCCTTTCTCAGGAAGCACGACGGAACCCAAATAAACATTCCTATTCTATCACAATGTCACAGGGTTCTTTTCCTATACAATATAGTGACATATGGCTATTAAGTATTTGTAATGTGGCTATTTTAAGTTGAGATATACACTGGAGTTACAGACAGTGCAAAAAAATGTAAAGAATGGAAATATCTTGATTTTTAAAATATTGATCACATGTTGAAATATTTTGGGTTCTGGATATTTTGGGTTCATGCAATATATTATTAAAGTTATCTTTTATATCTCTTTTTACTTTTTACGTGTGGCTACAGAAAATTTAAAATTATACATGTAGTTCCCATTTGTGGCTTGCATTATATTTCAGTTGGACCATGCTGGTTTAAGGTAACCCTGTTAGAAACACATACAAGGAAGCTGATGGCTGGGGCATATTCTAAGGGAGTCAGAAGAATAGAAGAGCCTGGGTTCTTCTCCAGCACATACACATGCATACCGGAAAAGTTAATATAGCAACCTAACATGTTCCTTTCATGTAATAGCTACTGAGTGACATATTACATTTTTTGGGCTCTGAGCAGTGAAAGGGCAGGAAAAAGACACATGTAATTAGAAAACATGAGTAATCATTAATGGAAACATAATGTCTAAAATCTTCTGAAGTTTCCCTCTGCTGGTTTCTACAGGCAAGAATTAGACTGGCAGATATAACTCCTGGGTTAAATAAAGTGGTCATTACTCTGCAACTGGTTGTGAATTTTCTATGATTGACAACAGATGGGTGGAAAGTCATTCACGTACTTTAAACACAATACTCATCTTAAACTTTGAAAAATACTGTGCTTTCTTGAATTTACCTTTTATCCCCTACCTGTCTAGCATTCTTGCTTAAATTGAGCTATTTCATCTTTAAATGATGCTATTTTGGGCTGGGCAAGGGAGGCTCACTCCTGTAATCTCAGCACTTTAGGAAGTGGGAAGATTGCTTGAGCACAGGAGTTCGGGATCAGCCTGGGCAATATGGTAAAATCTCATCTCTACAAAAAAAAAAATTAGGCCTGATGGTGCATGCCTGTAGTCTTAGCTACTTGGGAGGCTGAGGTGGGTGGATTGCCTAAGCTCAGGAGTTCAAGATCAGCTTGGGCAACATGGTGAAACCCCATCTCTACTAAAAGACAACAACAACAAAAAAAAGTTAGCTGAGCGTGGTGGTGCGTGCCTGTAATCCCAGCTACTTGGGAGGCTGAAGTGAGAGAATTGCTTGAACCTGGGAGGTGGAGGCTGCAGTGAGACAAGATTGGACCACTATACTCCAGCCTGATAGAGTAAGACTCTGTTTCAAAAAAAAAATGTTACTTTGATCCAGTAATAGTTATAGTGAGACACTAAGATGTTTCACCAATTAATGCTTAAAAGCACAAGAGGAATTATATACATCCCTAGGTCTCCAGAAATAATGTTAAGTGTGTAGTTATTTTTCAAGTATAGAATTTTTAAAAAATGAATACAAAGGTCTAATATCTCTGTCAGGGCACACAGAACCAAAACAGTATTATGATTATCCTTACTACTATTGCTACTATTCTACTACTAGTAGTTTATACTTGACATCCTCAATTTGACCTAATAAGAGTTAATGAGCTATTCTCAAGAAGGAAGTGTAGATGAAGATCTTATGATAGGAACAAGATTTTTGTGCATTTTAACAGTAACTGTTAGAAATGATTTTTAGCTGCAAACAACAGAAAACCCAATTAGAGTTGATTTATACAAAAGGGGCTTATTTCACAAAAATATGAGAGCAGGATTTAAGGCTAAACATGGCTCAATCATTTTCTGGATATTCCTTGAGAGAAGGAAACAATCTCTTCTAAATGCAGGGTCTCTCCAGTAAATTTGGATAAAACCTGACAATTTTCGACTAGAAATATGGCTGAGCAAGAAATATAACTCCAAGCAGAGTGTAAGTTACCTATAAATTAAGACATCCCAATTATGGATAATCAGGGAATGATAGAAGGAAGGTTATTTGAATTCCTATGGGGTGGAGGTATGGGGC